TTTCTAAATATTTCCTGCTAAATTTATATATATGATCTTAATAACACCATTTTATGACATGAATAGAATTAATATAGTATCATGTAATTGCAATTCTTTTATCAAATATATCTTATACCCGATAATGATACTTAAATGTATCTAATTAAATATATATATTCATCAATGTATATATAATAATTAATAGTTTTCTGCCCGATCCTGCCCGTTCCTGTAAATCGTCGAACCCCTAGTCACGGCATTTCGGTGATGTTTTCTGCACCAAATCGCATATGTCCAGATAGGATGTGACATATAGAAGTAAATAACTTCAAGAAATGCGATATTTCACAGTAATAAAGAAGTATTGGGTTCATAACTGGATCGTATGGGGTAGTATTGGGTGGTATGGGGTAGTATTGGGTCATAGTCACGGCAATTCGGTGATGTTTTCGGCACCAAATCGCATATTTCCTGATAAAATATGGCAGATGGAAGTAAATAACGTCTACAAAGGTGATATTTCACAGTAATAAAGAAGTATTTGGTTCATAACTGGGTCGTATGGGGTAGTATTGGGTGGTATTGGGTAGTATTGGGTAGTATTGGGTGGTATTGGGTAGTATTGGGTGGTATTGGGTAGTATTGGGTAATTAGACGCGCCGCAGTTTCAGAGATAAATTAATAAAAATTCATTTTTTGTCAATAATTTGCAAGAAATGTGGAGCGACTTTAAGTAACATACAGTTTACAATATTTCTGCTGTACTTGTTTACCTGGGGGGGGGGGGCTCAGGACACAGGGACATGGGCGGCACATGTACTGTACATGTAGTGTCACATGATTTAGAGGCGTCATAAGAAAGTTGGCTTGAGCACAAACCCATGCTTGAGCATGACAATAGTTTCATGAATACAGGCCCTGGTCTAGATCTGTAGATCTATCAGTATATTTAGCACGAGTATCCTTTTGCCCTGACACCAGACTTACAGTAGACATTTTGATAGAAAGATGTCTGGATTCATGTGGGGCCAGAGTGCATTACTATTTGAAAACATGTAATTCTACGAAACTGTTTGGTAGCGTCAAGTTTTGATTAAGGTGCATGCACGTGCAACAAATATGTGCTAAATGACACAACATCTATATTTACACCACATATAAATAGGTTAATCATCTAAAACCACAGTTATTGTCACCAACTGCTGCTACATCCCGTCAGTTAATTGTGTCCTCAGTTTTCAATCGTTCAAAATTTCCCAGCTAAGCGACACCATTTTGTAGATTATGCAAATTACAGGGGACTGACCTATCAACAAACCATACTGATCCACTAAAGCCATTAGGTCTCTGTCCAGACCAACAACTGAATAGATTTTTTTTTATTCCAACAAATTCTTGACCACCCTTTTTGTTGATTAGGCATTGCATTACAATGCCATGTAGTAAATAATTGTTGTCAGCACCTCAAAACTTAGTCCTACCAAACAGTGTCGGAAAATTCCACATGCTCATATATATATAGAAGCTGGAGTGCTCTAGCCGTACACCAGACATCCATCTATCAAAATGTCCAAGTCTAGTGTCGGGGTCAAAGAAAACTCTGGCTAGTATGATTTTGTGATAAACAGGAGGAGATTAAAGCAGTTAAAATGAAAATGAATTAAAAAAATCAAATATATCTACACTACCTTTGGATATGTCTTTATTACCACAATTAATAGTGTAGCTGAACTGGCCTGAACCAAACATCAGCAACTGGATGGCTGATCAGTTGGTGGGGAATCCATCCATAGTTAATTGGAGAGCCCTAACTTTGAATCCTGATCTGGTTTTGTATTTTGATCTCTTTCTCCCATTACAAAATTGGCAAGTTTGCCACTCTTTATTTCAAGCACTGGGTGAATGCTTTGCAATGGGACACCTGAACCTGGGTTGTAAATAGTTTAGCCTAAACTCGACTTTCTCCTGGTCCTGACACCAGATTTAGGTTTTTTTGACAGATGTTTGGTCTGGGGCCAGCTAGAGCGCACTTTGGTATGATAATATGGAATTCCCTGACACCATTTACAGTAGTTTGGAGGTGCTGACATGTACAACAAAAGTCTGCTTTGACAAATGCCTACCTCACATATACAGTAAAACAGGTTTAGTATGAACAGGATTATATTTTATTGCACTTTATAGGTATTGCAAACTGATTCTGATTCCCCAGCTCATCTTCTTCTTACTTCTATGTAATTATATGATCATATTGCAAATTTTACATGGCAAATTACTGTTTTATTACAAAGCAAATCAGCGGTTCCCTCAGGTGAAATTCAGTGCTATTAAAACAATGTAGTACTAGTTAGAAGTTACCCAATTTTTCTAAATCAGAAGTCGCACAGCAGAATGCAGTGATTTTGACCATGGTCACCGAGAAACCACCGAGGGGGCAACTGTCAGCTACATGTACTTCACTACTTAATTTTGTACATTTTGTATGACTATAAGAAACACAATGAGTTGTGTATTCAGGTAACAATATAGGTGTTGGGTCGTTATCCTACATAGCTTTACAGCTTTGTATGGGATATAATGTTTTCAATGACAATCTAAGTGTTGAAGTCAGACAGAGGCTGCTGAGGTGGAGGTCACCATGGCAGATCTCGTCAATATCGAATGCGAAGTTATTAGCATGACAGAGATGTCGGATATTGAGATTGTGAAGGGCGTACTCAACGTTTCTAACAGTGAGGAGGAGGAGAAGGAAGTGGAGGGAGAAGAGGTCGATGCAATCATCAGTATTGCAATTGGAGACCCTGGTGGCCTGGGCCCGTATTCATGAAACTGTTCTCATGCTCAAGCCAAGCATAGATTCTGTGCTCAAACCAACAACTTTTGTAACTCATTAAGATCATGTCAAACAATCAAAAAGTTAAATGTAAACATTGAAAACAGTGTTTGCCTTTAAGTTTCTTCAAAATGTTTCGAAATGATTGATAAAATTAGATAACCAGTCGGTCTTTGCGACACAATTAATATGTACATTATTTGTGTAGAAAGATCAACTTTGATTTCCTTTTCCAAATAACTCTCTGTAGTCACATTGACTTTTGCTTTAAAAAATATGGCAGATATCAAATTCTTAGGAAGACCATACCATAGGTTGATTTCAGGCTTAGAAAGTATTCTTGTTACTTTCAATGTTTTTCATTGCCACACCAATATTAATCCCTGAACATTTTGAAACATATAAGAATTCTTAATTTTACCTGATACTCCTTTTCAGTTCAACCTTGCTATAAAGGACATACCTGATGTCCATTCTGAGGCTAAACGAGCTCTAGCCAACCAACAGCCAATCCTAGGACAAAATGTGTGTGTGGAGATTTCACTTAAGACGTCGGAGGGAGCAACCATGGTACTGGAGACATGGTACATCAGTCTGGACCAGGATCACTGTGATAACAATGTGAAGATTTCCTACACAGTCTACAACAAGATGGGCACGGCACTCAAGTCCCTGTTCACCGTGTCACGGGTCACACCGGCCTATAAGCTGTCCAGGAGACAGGGCGTCTGCTCAGATGATTATGTCATTTGTTATAGAATCTATGCAGGGGACCCACAGTTCTTCATGCTCGGTGATGGGTACCAGACCGCTAAAGTAGGGACTGTTCCGACACCACAGGGGACCATCTCTATACAGCTGGCCTACAGAACCAAACTGTTGATCACACCACAGAAGAGTTCTAAGGAAGTTGGCTTTGAGGTTAAAGATGACCATTTTAAGAAAGACACTAGTCCGAAACGATCAACAACTCCAAAACCCTGTTCTATGGGTTACAGAAGGTAAACAGATGTGTACAACAGCTATACATTTTTTCTAATGAAGTAGATAATATTTCATCACAATAAATTAGAGGAAAGTAAACACCCTCAAGTCCAAGTATAGATCTAACTATTGTATCACCTACAAGATGTAGGATAAATTACAAATTCAACTATTCTGTCATTTTCATAGAAGTTATTATAGAGCAGTTGAAAACTGTTCATATTATTTGTCCGCAGCTGTTATCCAGAGACTGAACAGATCCAATGGCAAGATTTTCTTGTTTTGCTTTTTTAAGTGTCAATTTGTGTTGAAATAACATTAAATTATCTGTGAAGTCATTAACTAACCTGCAGCTATAAATAACAAACACTAAGAACTTAATGTACAATTCTCATACTACAGTAAACACGTTTATCACATAACAAATGTTTAATTTGGTTGGAATTTTGTTTTACTGATTTTTGAATCATTCATCAAGTAAGTTGATAACCATTAACTTCAATATAAATCACAGAATGATGAGCTCACTTCCTTGTTTCATGATTTATCTGGTGTTGCACACTAATGCTGTAAAATAGGTTTGAATTGCTTTATTATTTTTGTAAAGGTTCTTTGAATAGTCTTGTATTTCCATTTGTCCTTTTAGATGTCTGAGTACTTTCTAAATGACCAATATCTATACATATATTTGCAATTTCACATATTTTTTGTATTGAATGAGGAACAGTATACAGTGTATGTACAATTATGCTTTAGATGAAATCAAAACCAACCAAAACAAAAGAGCACTAAACATTTATAAATTTTATTTCATAACTGTTGTTAAATAAGGCTGCTATTTTGAGGATATTTGTGTTTGTAGGGAGAGCGTTGTAGATGATTATGGACAACAAGGCTATGATGACACTCAGGACCTTTGCTCAACCACCTTTACTGCTAGTCCCACTGATGGGTTCCTGTACAGTGCTATGCAGACTGGCTCCTTGCCCCGCACTTATTCCCAGCCAATCAGAATAGATGGCAGGCTACCTCCCAGTCAAAGTGGAGAAGAGTTCAAGCCTACCAGGTATACAAAAACCTGCATCAGGTATATAAAAAATCTACTGGGTATTAAAAAACCCACCAGGTATAACAAAAAACTACAAAGTATTCAAATATATACCAGGTACACTGTATACAAAAAACTTAACCTGGTATACAAAAATCTACAAGGTGTAGACAGTTAAAGCTACAAGGTGTTCAAAAAATATACCAGGTACACTGTATACAAACAACTTACCAGGTATACCAAAAGCTACTAGGCATGCCAAAATCTATCGGGTATACCAAAACTACCAGGTACACAAAAAAATACCAGGTATTCAAAAACCTACAATGTATACCAAAAACTTACCAGATATAGAATTAGGTGTTTATAATAAAATACCAGATAGAAACGTTGCCGTCTTTTTACATTAAAAATTATTGTTACACATATCATACCAAGTCTTGTACATTGTCATACACCTGCCAGTGTTAATAATGTTCATGTATTTCAGTCACAACACCAACCTGACTTAGGTTTTCTTATCTTCTATTCAATGACATCAACAATCAGTCTTAAATTTGTTCACGTAAGATAATTATGTTTTGTGTTGTGATAATTTAAAAAATAAATATAAAGTTGTTAGCTATATGGTTCCATTATAAAGTTGTTAACCATATGGTTCCATTATAAAGTTGTTAACCCTTAGGCTGCTATGCGCCACAATAGTGGTTTCGAAAAGTCGGGCCATCAGTGCTACGCACCACAATAGTGGCGTGCAGTCTGTAGGTTTTATCAGTAAACAGGAAGTGTGAAAGACGACTGTTGCTATACCAAACCCGAAAGCGTATAGTAGAAGGCTTCTGATTGGTTGTTTTGTCATTACTTTCGATATTCCCGGCAATGTACCCTAGTAATAATCAAAGTGTGCAAGAAAATTTCAAATCGGAAAAAAAGTCATAAAAATGGCAGACGTGTAGATTGAAGTGATGAATATGATGGTAAACATTTATTCTCCAGCGTCACCTACGATGATAATAAAGGTTTTAAAGGGTTTGACATGGTTGATGTGTAAATACTTCGGTGTAACATAATATGTAACTTTCCAATGAACAGCTTTGTGCCCTACGCAAACAGGAAAATATCGGCGGACCAAGGCGCACATGTCGTCTGCAGGTGAGGCCGAATTGAACATTGACATTGATACGTTTTGAGCCGATTGATTTCTTCAAACTATTTATCGATGATTTAATCATAAACTAGACCGTAGCTAAGATATATCTATATGCCGACTGTGACAATAAATATATTGAATAACGACATGAAATCTGTAGCAAATCGCATGCAATTCTTGATAGAATACCTGACCTTTTTATCTGGGAATCTCCGTGTAAATGTACAGCTTCTTATGTCATAAATGAAGTTTATGATCTCTGTTATCATTTTCCAATCACATTTTCTGACAAAAACAATTTTAAAATGATCTTTCTGGTGCTTAAATCTGATTAATTAAAAGTTTCACCTTAATCTTACCTTTATTACCACCTTTACAGGTAAATACTGAAGCAACTTTAGAATCGAAAACGTTAATATAAACTAGAGACAATAACGAACAATTTTCCTATAACTTTTATTCACATATAACAAATATTTTTCAAGTTATGCGCATTTGAAAAATTAATTAAATTAATTTATATTTCAATAATTAATTCAGCAGTGGCGTCCCTTTACATGGAAATCAATGTAGCAGCCTAAGGGTTAACTATATGGTTCCATTATAGAGTTGTTAACTATATGGTTCC